CCGAGCCAGCAGGAGGAGAGGCCCAGGCCAGGCTTCCAAGAGGCACCGTGCCACCTAGGCTGGGCTGCGGCGCAGTTCCTCAAGCTCTGCTGTAGTGACCCCTCTGGGAAGAGCAGCCCCTGCCCACCACACCACCTGCCCATGTAAGGGTCTGGGGTGCCCCTGTGTACCCCACCTCTTGAGGTGGCAGGGATCAGGCCTATCTCCAGGACCACCCCCACAGCTCCTAGTCTATGGGGGCATTCAGAGAGAGTCTTTTAGGACCAGCTATGGCTCCCCAGTGCCCCCGGGCCAGGCTGCAAACACAGCCCTCCAAATCAGCCTCAGCTCTTGCCCCCCGCCACAGCTCCCTCCAAGGCAGCTTCCTTCTGGCCCCTCCTCTGGCACTGGACACCCCTTGCACAGTGACTTCTCCACCTCTCACACAGACTTCCTCCTGGGTCCCCAGTGCACCCCAGCTGAGGCTTGAACCCTGCAGGGCATAGCCAGTATAGCTGCTGTGAGCTGGCAGTACCCTACCCATGCTGTCACCTCTGAGGACAGCCCTTTCTCTGCAGCTCTATGGGGCCCCACATCCTCTGGGTCCTGGACAGCAGGACAGGGACATGGCCCGGCCCTGCTTCCTGGAGAGAGGAAACCTCTCCAGGATTCTAGTGAGGAAGCAGGGTGACTGGGTGCCTCCATGTCCAGTGACCCCCAGCTCCAGACACAGGTGAAGAAGCTGGGAGCTGGGCCTGTGTGGCTGTGTACTGGCTCCTGCCTGGGTGGCATGATGACCACCACCTCTGCAACCAGGGCCTCAGTCCTCAAGGTAGCTGAGAGGGACAGAGTCGCCTGGGGGTCACAGACTCACCACTTCCAGGCAAGGGGGTGGGAACACTTGGGCCATTCCTCTGCAGCCCTGCCTGGAGTTGTTTCTGGAGGGCTGGAGGCCTGGAGGATTTGAGAAGAGCCCCCTGTGGGCTCAGCAACCCTACCCACACTCCTGGGAAGGATAAAGGAGGCACAGTGGGCAGAAGCCCACATTGGGGCTGGTGAGTGCTCTCCAGGCCCCAGGGGCTGGGGCAGTCCTGGAGGCAGGGGAAGGGACAGAAGACAGGGAAATCCGGCTCATGAGGGCTTCTGGGAACACTGGTCCACACCCAGGCATAGCCCCATCCCAGGCCTGAGACAGCCCAGCTGGCCCTGCCGTGTCTCGGCCTGCCGGGAACTGAGGAGCTCTGCCCCCAGCTGCCATCTGCCATGCCCGGCCTGGCACACCTCAGGTCCCCCACATGGGTCTGGGTTTTCTCAACTCCTTTCATCAGTTCACGAAAATCAGATCTGCGCCTTATGGAGGCATCTGTGTCCCCCAGGGCAGCTGCATCTCCAATCTGATGTCACAAGTGCTGCAGGAAGTGGTCCCTGCTGCATCTCAGCCTGCCACGGGCAGGACCAAGCCGAGTTCCCAGGTCCAGGCACCTCAGTTCCCACAGGCACAGACCCTGGACTGTGTACCCGAGTTTGCTGCTAAGGCCCCGCAGGCCTGAGACGTGGCTGCAGAACTGTTTGTTTCTTCCTGCCCCAAGGGTGAGGGTCCCTGAGCTCACTCCCACCTCCAAAGCCCCAGGTGCTTCTGCTCCTCCTTGTGCTGCTGCCTCCCGTCCAGAGCCCTGCCAGGCCTGGCTCTTTGTGGGTGCCCAGGAAGCACCCACAGACTCACTGCAGAAACAGTGTCCGCAGAGCCAGCTGAGCCCCAGGCTGGCCAGATCCCGAGGATCACAGCCTTGGCTGGCTGGGAGAAGGGGCCTGGAAGTTGTCCGGGTCGGAGAAGTCCTTGGCCCTGGTCCTTGGTCCCGCCCAGTCCTCAATGGTGTGAGGAGCCTGAGCCCCAGCTGCTCGGTGGGGCTGGTGTGGGTCACAGAGCCAGGCAGTGAGGGAGCCACAGCCTCCCTCCTCCCCTCAGAGCCTGACAGGCCACCGCCCTTCCCCCAGCCACTGTCCTGTGCTTGAAGATATTGCACCTGGCATGGTTCTTGGGGGGACCAGAAGCAACCCCTCTCCCTCCACCATTGGCACTTGGGGTAACTGCAAGGCTGAGCAGAACCCCTCTGTCCAGAAAGGAGCAAGCATGGCACGTCCCAGGGCACAAGAGACTGCGACCCGGCTCTGGGGAGCTGCACGGGGCCACGCCAGCAATCCTGGGCCTGGCAATTTGGTCACCAGCTCACTGCTCCCCACGCACAGGCCACTGAAGAGATGAAATGTTGGGTGTGGAGTGCTTCCCTGGCACTTGGATGGGGCAGGCAGAGCAGGTGGCCCTCACTCCTCAGTCCTTAGGAGACGCACGCCCTTAGAGGTCACAGTCACTTTAGTCACTCCCTCTATGACCCAACACAAAGGGCTCAAAGCTCCAAACATGTCCAGTTCTCCAACGTCCCCCTGGGACAGGCCTGAAGGATGCAGTCCAGGGCTGTGCCTGGCTTAGGGGACAGATCAGATTCTAACGCATGTGGACTTCATCCTTTGTCGCCAGACTCCGGGCAGACGCCTGAGCGCCCCCATCTGGACCAAGGGACGATGCCCGGGCCGGCAGGTGATGCTCGTGATCCCAGAGGTGCAGGCTGTGCACTAAGCAAACTCTCCAGCCACTCTTGCCCAGGCCAGGGCCACCCTGTGTCTAAGGACCTGTCTCCCACCTCTGCTTTTCACTGAATTCAATTCTCATACCAGAAGGCTCACCCTCTAGAAAGGTGCAGTCCTGCAGCTTTTGGTACCCACTGTGTTGTGCATCTGTCCCCACTAATGCCTGAACATTTGCATTGTCTTGGGAAGGAATCCACAGCCAGCAGCCATTCCTCCCTCCCTCCCTCTCAGCCCTCTGACATCCCATCTCCATGACATTGTGACTGGGGTGTTTCCCAGGAATGGGCTCCTGGTGGGTGTGCCCTCATGTCCTTTTTCTTTTAATTCATTATGTTTATTGGTATAGTTCAGGTATGCAATACGATGACATTCATCATTGGGAACTTGTACCTTTACGTGATGTATCTTGGTTCGTATTTTCCCCCCATTCATTCCCCTACCCACCCTTCCAACCTTCCCCATTTACAGACTTTGTTTCCTCTTTTTTTCTTTTCTCATATTTATTCCTTTCCCTTCCGCTATCTGTCTCACTTTCATTTGCAGTAATGTTCTCTAGGTCCAATCATGTGGTCAGAACACTGATCCTGTTCATGACTGAATAATATTCTACTGCCCTGATACCTCAGTTGTCCAGAGTCCAGGCTCGAACTTTCCACTACTTAAAAAGCAAAGTTTGAAAAAAAAATCTGCTGAGTGTTTGTAACTTTAATCGCTAGTCAACCCAAAATCCAATTTGAAAAAACCTGTATGAGCCAAGAGTATTATGCTTTGATATTTAATGTACTGTATTTATTGTTAGGTGTTGCAGAGGGTATTTCCACCACCTCGGGCTGCTAACTTTGTGCTAAAACCCTGGAAAATGAATTTGTAAGTGTAAACTTTGGGCCTCAGAAGCAATTATTTGGTTCTCTGTTACTTCTTTAGGAAAAAACATGTTTAGCTCTCGAACTTCTTGGTGTTTGAACAAGAATTTGGAACAAATTGAGCTGCACGTCCCAGCTATCACCATGCACAGATGTACTGCATTTAGTTTATTCAGTCACCCACGGGAGGACGTTTGAGCAGTTTCCATGTTTGGGCTATTACGGATGGCTCTGCCATGAACACCAGAGAACAAGTTTTTCCGTGAATGTGTGATTGGCTCTCTGAAGCACGAATCTGTGAGTGAAGACTGGTCATGCTGTAGCTCCATGTTTGAATCCCAGAGGAGTGGCCAGACTGTTTTCCAGAGAAGCTGTGCCACTTCACAGCCCACTGGCAATCCTCGCCAAAACTAGCTGTTTTATTGCAGTCATCGTTGTGGATGAGAAGTGGTAACCCGTGGTTGCTTTGATTTGCATTTCTCCAGTGTGATGCGAGCATCTTTCCATGGGCTTATTCACCAGCTGTGTATCTTCTCTGAAGAGATGCCTTCACAAACCAACTGCACAGTTTTAAATGGAGTTAGCTGGGCATGGTGGCATGTGCCTGTAATCCCAGAGCTTAGGAGGCTGAAGCAGGAGGATTGCTGCCAGTTCCAGGCCAACCTAAGCTACATAGTAAGTTCGAGGCCAGCCTGAGCTATCTAGCTAAACCCTGTCTCAAAAAAAACAAAATTAATTAATGAATTAAAAATAAAAATGGCATTTTCTTCTTTTTTAAAAAGCACTTTATTGACATATGATTGACACCAGAAGACAGATATATGTATTTATTTAGTGTATTTGGCCTGATAGGTTTGGAGACAGGCAGACACACGTGATATTTCAACCCCAATCCATGCCCTAACACAGCCATCGCCACCACATTTGCTCCTGCTGTCTTTATTGTTATTGTTGTTGCGTTGTTCGTGTGTGTATGTGTGACAGAAACACTTCCTGTTAGCTCTACCATCTTAAGTCTTGTAAGTGTGAGACACAATACCATCCGCTAGGACACTGCGCGTACAACAGGTCTGCAGGCTCATCCCGCTGCATGAACCGACATCCTCTGACCACTACCTTCCTCTTCCCCACTACCCCAGTCCTCTCTCTGAGTGAGGAGTTGGCCTTTTTCAGGCTCCTCGTATCAATGGCGTGGTGCTGGACTTTGGACGTCGCCCTGACTGGCTTGTGGGGTACCCAGGTGGCCAGGAGGTCCTGCTTATTCTGTTACTTCCCTGACTCTTCTCCGTGCTTCAAAAGCACAGAGGCGACCCCTCCTCTGCGAGAGGGGAGCCCAGGGCCTGGCGCCCCATAGGATGACTGCCCAGGGGTGTTGAGAGAGTGTGCTGGGCACTAGCGTGAGCCAGAGGGCTGAGTGCAGGGTCTCCCCTCCGTGTGGCTGGCACCGTCCAGTCCGCTGTCTGAGTGGAACGAAGGACAGAGGAGGGGCGCATTCTTGCTCCCTCTTATTTCACTGAGTAGTGCCCTCTAGGTTCATCTGCACAGTCACAAGGACAGGATTTCCCTCTCCTCTTTGGGCCCAAGCGGCATTCCATTGTGAGTACTGCCACTCTTCCCTCACCCCACCCATCCGCCCCTGGAACACCCTGCTTCTCTCTCTCTCTCCTCATGGTCAATTAGGTCGTCTCCACATTACAGCTACTGTGAGCAGGGCTGTGGAGAAGCTGGGCGCACAAGTCCTCCTGAGGCCCTGATTCCAGGTCCTGTGTGTATCTGTTCAGAAGTGGAATTGCTTGACCACAGTGTAGTTCTGTCTTTCACTGTTCGAGGAACTTCATGCTGCTTTCCACAGTGGTTGTACTAATTCACACACACACCCCCGTCAATAATGTACAAGAATTCCCTCCCCTCTGTATTCTTAGCCTCGATCCTCGTGTGTATATTATAGCTATCCCAATGGTTTGTGAGACAATACCTCACTGTAGTTCTATTTACATCCCAGTAATGAGTGATGTTGGACATCTTTTCACATCGCCTTTAGCTGGTTAGACATTGCCTTTGGTCACCTGGTTTGTTTGTTTGTTTGTTTGTTCCTTTGCTCATCTGAATTGGGTTATTTGGGATTTTGCTATTGAGCGCTAGAGTTCCCTCTATAGTTTGGAAACTAACCCTTTACTAGACACCTGGTTTGCAAATGCCTTCTCCCATTCTGTGAGTTGCCTTCTCCCTTTGTTGTTTGTTTCCTTTGCTGCGCAGAACTTTTTGGCTGGATATAATCCCACTTGTCCATTTTTGCTTTTGTAGACTGTGCTTTTGGCATCATATACAAGAAGTCGTTTCCAGGACTAGTGTGAAGAATGTGTTTGAGTGTGTCTCTTTCTAGGAGTTCTGGGTTTTAGGTCTTACGTTTTAACCTCTCAATGCACTTTGAGTTTTGGTTTGCACACAGCATGAGAATCCAGTTTCATTCTTCTGCACATGGCCTCGTAGCTTTCCCAGCACCACTTACAGAGTTGTCCTCTCCCTACTGTGTGTTCTTGACACCCTTACTGGAGGTCAGTTGACCCTTCATACGTGTGTTTATCGGGAGGCCATCTAGTCTGTTCCATCGACCTAAATATCTGTGTTTATGTCAGCATCACTCTCTTATCATTATTGTAAGTATTTTAAAATCAGGAGATCTGATGCTTTCAGATTGTTCTTGCTCAAAATTGCTTTGGATATTTGGGTATTTTGTGGTTCCATACAAGTTTTAGGACCTTTTTTTTTTCTATTTCTATAAAAGATACCATTAAGATGTTTAACACAGAGTGTACTGAATGTATGTATTACTTTGGGTTATTTGGACTTTTTAACATGAATTCCTCCAATCCATGAATACAAGGAATTGACTTGTTTCCATTTGTTTTCATTTCTTTCATCCCTATTTTATCAATTATATGGATATATATTTTTTATAAGTCTTCCACTTCCTTGTGTAAGTTTATTCCTATTTTATTCTTTTGGATGCTACTGTAAATGGGATTCTTTTCTTAATTGTTTTTCATAATTCATTGCTTCACAAATACAATTTATTGTATATGTTGATCATGTATCCTGCATTTTTATTGGTGCTGCTAGCCGTTTAGTGGAGTTTTAAGGATTTTCTACAAAGAAGAGCCTGTCATATGCAAACAGACCATGTTTTACTCTTTCCTATCTGATTTGAATTACTTTTATTCTCTCCTCTTGTCTGATTTCTCTGGCTAGTATTTCTACTATGACAGTGAATAGAAGCAATCTGATTTGGGCATCCTTGCCTTTTTCCACATCTTAGAGGAAAAGTGCTCAGTTTTTCATTACCTGTTATATTGTTATCAGTAGGGTTTTCATATATGGCCTGTATGGTGTTTATAAGTTCCTCCTACACCTGACTTGTTGACAGATTTTAACATGAAAGGGTGTTAAATTTTGTCAAATACTTTTTTCCTTCACTTGTTGAGATAAATCAAATGATTGTAATTCTCTATTCTGTTTCTGTGCTTTGTCATGTTGCTTGATCTATATATGTAACCATACATGATTCTAGGGTAAACCCTACTTGGCCGTGGTATATAATCCTTTCAATGTGCTGGTGAATTAGGTTGCTACTATTTCATTCTAGTATATATGTTCCTCAGAGGTATTGGCCTACAGTTTTCTTTTCCTGTTGTGCTCTGCTCTGGCTTTGGCATCAGGGTGGTGCTGACCCATGAAATGAGTTTAGAAATGTTTCCTCTTTTATCTTAGGGAGAGTTTAGGAGGAATGAATATTTCTTTAAATGGTTGGTAGACTTCTCTTGCAAAGCCATTTATTCCTGGACTTTTCTTATTTGGGGGATTTGTGTTTCCAACTCCTTATTTGTTATTGGTCTATTCAAACTTTTTATTTCCCTTTGATTCGATCTTTAGTAGATTGTGTATTTCTAGAAATGTATTCATTTGTAGAATGTCAAATACATTAGCATATAATTATCATATGAATCTATGGTGCTTCCTGTCATTTCCATGACAACAATGATACTGTTTCCTCTCTCATTTCTGAGTTCATGTGATTTGTCTCTCTTTT